CTTCAATTTATTATTTAATAAAATATTCCAACATCATTTTTTTTTTGCATTTTATTTATTTAGCATTAGACCAATTTTGTAGACTTCAATTTACTATTTAATAAAATTTTCCAACATCATTTTTTTTTTTTTTACAATTTATTCATTTAGCATTAGACCAATTATCAGTTAAAACTATAGATCTTCAATGTATTCACTTTTTCAAAAGGAAAATTTTGATTGCCACAAAGTCTTTACAATAATAAAAATAAAAAATTATATGGACCCATTGGATGGTTTTTTATGGAGTCATCCACCACTTAATGTATTGACACATGTCCAAAGTGTATTTATTGTAGGACACATGTCAATACATTATTGGTGAATAAGTGTGGATGACGTAAGTCGAGCCATCTGATGGTTTCATAGCAAAACTGTAATAAAAATTGCCAATATGATAGAGCCTTGATGTTACAGACCTAACTTTGAGGGTCGGCTTGGCATGTTACCCTTAGTATGCCAAGGTAAGACAGGCGTCGATAAACTGTGTGCTCGGCGTAAAAAAGGAGGAATGCTTAAAAGTCTAAGAGGTTACGGGCTATCTTGAGGAAGACTCGAGTTGTAGGGCCAAAGTTGGCATGTTGGGTTGAATGGAGGTTCCGTCGAGCATTCCAATGATCAATGAACACTTGTGCAATATACCCTGTATTTCAACGTCTAGTGGGTATATTTTGGGGGAGGTAGTGTCTCAAAAGGGTTAGAGCTAGGCCATGTGACAAGCTCGTGAGGGAGTCTTGGGCCTAGTGTGGGGCCCAACCAGCTCCCCCAGTCGGCTCGTATATCGGTCAACTCGTGAAAAAAGGGCAAGGATAAGTTGAGAGCTCGATTCGATTGGACGAGGGCTTGTCGTAGGGCTATGCATGCCTTGCGGGCACATGTGGGCTTGACTCGGAGAATGCTATTGTGCGTGCGAGGTGGTGCGCACGTTTGTGGGATCGGATGACAGTCACCCGTGGGCTTGAAGGGTCGGACATAGGATGGTTCGGAGCCAAGAGGGATCCGGGCGATGCATTTTGATGGGCGCTTGCGAGTGTTGGTGCGGCGTCTAAGCTATTGGTGGGAACAATTGGGATTTTCAACACGCGTGTGAATTGCATGTGGACTATGCTATTACTTGGTCTGGTGTGTCCTAAGCATGGACTTATCCCTTTGAGATGGCGCAGTCGAGTGGGATCAAATGAGACCAAACGGGCAACACGTGGCTAGACAGTTTCTAAGGACACGTGGCGCGAGACAGATATTGACCCTTGAGTTCGGCAACCGTTTGGGAGAGATGTTGGCTTGCTGAGTAGGCATCAGGATGGATCGATTTGTGGGAAACCACCCGGGCAGTTGCTAGTCGGTTACACCCAACAACTAGGTTGAGGGTTACGAGCCTGAGGCCTTTAAATAGGCCGACGTGAGCATTTGTGCGGGATAACTAACCAAATAACTAAGCAATTGTGATCGAGAGTGAGAACACAAAACACACTCTAAAAGAATTAGTAAAGAACAAACTCATTGACTGAGAGGACTTAAACACGAAGGTATATGGATCACATGTTCCCATTGTGTTCCATCAGAACACATATCCTCATTTAGATTCAAATATTTTTAAATCATTTTTTATTGTTTCCTTCTAAGTTTTCATAGGTCTACCCCTCTCTTTTAATTTGCGTTCTTAATTCTAATGTTTCAACCCTTCTCACTGGGGCCTCGAAGTCTTTCCTACGCACATGCCCAAAAAAAAAAAAAAACAACATATGCTCCTTTGCTGTCTCATATCAATTTTCTCGTCCCCGTCTCTTTCTGTCAAAATGGGAACCTCTTCTTTTCAGATTGAAAAGTCGTCGTTGGCGTCTGGGTTAGCATTAGTGGTTCCAACAAAAGTTTTAGCGCACCACTTTCTAGATCCAATCCAATGGACTTCCTCTTCTTCCCAGATTGAAGTTTTTCTTGCACAAGCTTTCGGTGACCTTTCTCGAGGTAGAAGGAGAACACCTCTCGATATGAAATGCTCTAAAAGATGCAACAAATAGACCACATTCGTTGCAGTAAAAAGTAAAAAAATTCTATTTTTAGATTACGTATACCAAACATACACTTAACAATACATAAACAATCATATACCACCAAAAATCTACCCCTTTCACCACCACCGTCGTCCCCATCATCCTCGCAACCCCACCTCCTCGTCCTCGACGAAAACATTGGAGACATTAGCTTGAGACAGTTGTTCCAATTGGCCCTCGTCTCGTGTTATAGTTCTCCGAAGGGCAGTAGAACTTCATCATCATCTTCGTCGACGCCCAGCCCAAATGGAGCTGCAACCCCCAATCCGCTATCGCTTGCACCGCCTCTGCCTCCATCGGCGACGTGTGCCGCCTTTTGGAGGACTCATGATCCTTGGATTCCCCACGCATGCGTTCAGGTATCTCAGTGGGCCTTCCAGTGCTCCCGCCTCCGTCAAACTCGTCGGCTGCAAGAGTGCAAGAAAAACGCAAACCTGAACCGGCTCAAGTCCTACTTCCACCTGCCCGACTACCACGACCCTTGCCCCTCCACCAACCTCTCCGACTTCGTTGACGGCCTGGAGTCTGTCGTCCGCTCCTACCAGCTCAAGTTCATACAACATATATAGAAGAGAGAGAAGGAAGAGATGATTTTTAAGGTAAATCCCTTCGTTTATGGAAATTAAAGAACCTGCACGTTTTTTTAGTAAACTGATTTGACATATTCATAATTTGGTATAGAATCAGTAATATTCTAATAAATAATTGAGCAGTATTTGTGCAATATATTTTAAACAATAGAGCATGTTTGTACATGAGTAATTCAATGATAAAAGAATCAATATTTTCAATAAAGTAAGCTCAAATTAGTTCAACGCTAATAGAAGTCACTCTTTTCAAAAGCTCAGGTACGTTCCTTTCATTTGGTGTTCTAGGCAAAATTTGTGTTATCTTGGGCGATGAAATATTTTGGACATATAATGTATGATTATTGGAGTTATGTTATTTTGTACATATAAGATAGAGATAATTATGCCTACCACGATCTCACAGACATTTATTTGCACTCTTACGAGTCAATAAAAAATATTAACAAATGTACAAAATCTTGTATTTTTAATTGCAACTTTTACTTTTTCTTTATCTTACTTCCCGTCATTTTTTCTTTCTTCTTCTTTATCGATCCCCAATTTTCTCCCAGCCCTCAATTTTATAAATTTCATTTAAATTGTCTTCTCTTTGAGTTTGCAAGCCTCCAGACCCACTATTGGCGGCGGTTGGAGAGGGCTGACGGACGATTAATTGACGGTTGTCTCGTCGGCTATGGTAGCGTCGGTCCGAGCTTTGCGGTGGCAGTTGTGCGATGCGGTCTCGGATCACTGCGGCTGCGTGTGGAGGATTAGGTTTCTCGCACGATCGGTGGCTCGGTCGGGGCAGACAAGCGACTTTGGATCTAAAAGCGATGCGGGCGGATTTTTTGGCGCAGTTGACGGAAACTCGGAGAATTCCTGTCGTCGAGGATGCCCTCGTCTTCATTGAAGTGGTCAGGATCGGTGGGTTATCGACGGAGGCCATCGGAGAATTTGGTGGTTAGATTTTAGTTCAGTGGAGGACCAGACCTAGTTCGAACGTGACACCTTATCACTCACCTCCTCCTCTATGGCTCTCTCAAAACAAACAGTGTTGGTGATGTTCTAGAATGTTGAAAACAAATACAAACGAGTTTGTGTTAATACTTGATCGCCTTTACGAAGACTTAGTCCGAATAAGTTAATTTATCAGTATCTTGAGTTTCATCAACGTCATCATGCAATCCGACTCCAATAAACAATCGCGAGTAATATCGTCATTCTTTTTGCAAGTGGCCTAAAGTATATATGTAGTATATGTATACCTTTTTTGTTGTTGTATAGTTGCAGGTATATATGTAGTATGAAATATTTGAATTGAAAATCATAAGGATCGGTATGGTCCTAAGTATATATGTTGTATAATTTTCGTATATATACTGTTTTTTTTTTTTTTTCTGCACGGGCTAAGTCTGGGTGAAAGATTTGAATTAAAAATTATAAGGATCGGTAGGATCCTAGGTATATATATTGTGCATTTTTTGTGTATATTGTTTATTGTTTTTAAAACGTTCTTATAAGGTATGTTTGTAGTACATATTTTGTAGAAAAATGCTCACCTACTCACGGTGGGCACATGTTAATATGCCCACCGCGTAGGTGGCATGCACTCATTGGTGATGTATTAACATCACCAATGAGTGCATGCCACCTACGCGGTGGGCATATTAACATGTGCCCACCGTGAGTAGGGGAGCATTTTACATATTTTGTATATATGTAGTATATATATCTGAAAATAATTATTCTGTTAGTGGATACGACCGAAAATATCAAAAAGATGTAACCAATCAAATTCCCTATTTTTCGCGGTCTAATCTACAAGAAATCAGACACTGTTTCTTACCACGTGAGAGAAAAATCTTACATAAATTAGTTTAATTTCAAGATATATGCAAATAATTGCACATTTTTTGCTTCACCACAATTAATTGCACTTCAATCGGTATTCATGCAAATAAAATATCTCCTTTTGTATAGATGCAATATCTTTAAATTCATGTGGTAAAGAAAAGAAAAATCGCCTATAACATATGATCATAGGAGCTATGAATTTAAGCGCGCCTTATGAATATTAGCGGTTTTGCTATGAAGCCAACAGTTGGCTTCATAGTGGAGCCAACTTTCTATATACAACAAGTAAACCTATCATATTATCTGATTACTTAAATAACACTAATATAATTTTATTAATATGATAAGTTTATTTATTGTATATAGAAGGTTGGCTCCACTATGGAGCCAACTGTTGACTTCATAGCAAAACCGATTAGCGAGTATTAGATGTTGCTATAAAGAAGTATACAGTTTGAACAGTTGCCGGTTTTAAATTTATTGAAGCAAGCTTCAACGATAATATTGAAATTTGAAAGTAAACAAGATGCAGTTGGGAATGAGAAGTCAGTAATATTGAAATTTGAAAGTAGACAAGCAGATGGGAATGAGAAGTCTAAGAATAGCTTATAGATAATGATAAATTTGATGATTAGCAGCTTTTAGCTCCCGAGAATGTATCCGGACTGATCGTATACAAGTCGAGCATCAATAACGTCCAAATTTTAGTTATAATGTCACGTCTGTTAGTCTAAAGCATTGGCCTTGTTTTTCAACATCACGTTTTTTGTCCGTGAATATTGGTGAATTGATAAGAATAATTAAATTCAGTGCAAAAGAGACCAAATGGAGTGTGGACAATTTTTTACAATCTGGCCAGTGACATGTAACCTAAAAACTTTCATCCTTTTCAATCTGAATAAACCAATACGTTCAAAAAGTACAGGACCAATCACAACCTACTCCAAATTCATTTTAACATTTTGTGTACAGAAATAAAAGCAACAGCCAAAAGAGAATTTGATCTTACGCCCGCAAACGGAGGAAATGGTAAGAAGGAAGTGCAAAATCAAAACCGAGGAAGCGTTTGGCAGCAACTCTTATTAGTCTTGACGAGCGTTTGTTTGAAAACTGGATTATTGATTTCTCGACTCATGGATTTCTCGACTCACGGAAGCACAGTTCTCAACTCTTTTCTGTCGGCACCAAATGACTGCACCAGAAAATACAAGTAATTACTAATAATGTGAGAGTTTGTATCTGGAAATATAGTATAGGTTCTAGAGTTTAAAAAGTTCCAGCACAAACTCAATAGTTACCTATAATATTACCCAATAATCATCAAATTATACACAAATGGAGAAATTGTTTCGGTGGTGTGGGTGTGTGCAGAGAGAATCAAAAGAACACAGCAAGCACTAAGGTACAAGACATGGATTGGAGAGATTTGGTTCATGTAATAATACCATCAGACTACAAGGTTTTTGGCATAGTTTATTTGAAAGATCATATATGATTATGTGTCAGATATTGACAAAATGTTTCAAGAGCTTCACAACGGTAGATCATATTCTGATAATAAATTATTTAAGCGTTTCAATAAAATAGGATGCCGGAGCTTTTAAGATTATAGTAATGGCAATTCTTTATTAAAAATTGTCAAAATAATTGGAAATAATTAAAGAACATCTTATCTGAAAATAAACACCAAATCATCTTATAGACACTTAGTCCAAGGCCCTCACATGAGATGAAAAATATGAGTAAAACAACCAATTTGCAATCAGAGCTACATGCTGCAATTCTGCCCATCTGAATTTATTTCATCCAAGCAATGATATGACAAGTAACAAAAAACTCGTCCAATGAGGAGGTGCCAACTAAGCAAACGTTGTTTCATCATGCCACAATAATATTAATTATTATAATAACTAGTACACTTATATGTACGATGCACGTATTTATAATACAAATAAAAAAGACAATAGATTATTTAAAATTATTATGTTTATTTATTTTGTTTTGTCATGACATATTCATATTATTTTAGGGTTTACAGAACTTTAAGAAATTTTTAGTTGTAAAACTTAATGTTATGAATATTTTGATTTTTATTGTTGACATAGAAGTTCGACGAAACCCTTATGAAAAATACTGTGATTTTTTCTCTGAGTCAATAATTCCATAGTGACTTGACAGACCACCCGTCAATTTATTCTTTTCAGGTCATGTACTTTATGATTCAAACAAATAATTCAAAACTTCAAACCTATATAGAAAAAGTATTATTTTATCATAATTTTTTTACTTAATATATAATTATAATATGAAGGCACATTTAGGTAGGGGTAGCAAACCGTGCATCGTGTCGTGTTTGTGTTTCATTATTACATTTTCGTGTTACTTTATTTGATCATAAGTATGATCCTAAATCTAAATTTAACTTAATTTTTATTTCTTGCTTTTAGTATTGTGTTTCGTGTCGTATCATGCCCATCGTGTTATTTGTCTCCATTCGTGTCGATTATGTGTTTCGTGTCACCCATTGTCAACTCTACATTTAGGGCCTTTATTATTTTTAAATTGATATTCATCGATAATTTCTAATTCATTTTATATCAAGAAATAATTAATTTTTTATATGAATGTTGGTGTCAAATCAAAAACCACTGATAGAATATTTATTTGATATATTATTATGTAAAACCAGTAACTAAAATAAATATTATTAAATTTTTGTTTAAAAATCTAAGGTTGATGGTATAATCTAAAATAGTAACATTGACTTTGTAAATTACAAAAAGGTTGACTTACTATTAAAGGAAATATAATAAAAATTACTTTAGTATTTATTAAATAAAAAATAAAATCAAATTATATCGTGCATAGCACGACTTATATATAAATAAAGTTTTTATCAATTTTAAAAATTATTTTGTGATAGTTATCGCAATATTCGACTTTTCATTTTAATTACGAATTACTACAATTTGTTATTTTTTTTTTTAACCAACATACAACATGTTTTCCAAAAATGTCTATTAAATATATTCTGTTTTTAGAAAATGTTATTTGAATATACACGATAAAACTGCAAATATAATTACAAAATACAAATTGAATATGGAAATTTTATGTTACAATAAAATCTTATTTATCAACACTAATAACAAATCACAAGGTGATTTCTTTCTTATTCATTTGCTAACCAACCATATACCAAAATATTTTTATCGTATCTTTAAAAAATCTCTTAATTAGTTTAGAATATTTTTTGATTTATCAATAACTCAACCGTTTCAGTTTTTCAAAGATTATAAACCCAATTTTCTAAAATATCAAAAGAAATTTAACTATTTATCTTGAATAACAAACTCAATCTTTATCCTTAATAACAAATCAAGCGTTTTCCATTTTTGTTGGGTATTCAACCATATGTGACCAAAATGTGTAAGAACATTACAAAATATAAGTACAAATAAATTTAAAAAATCATTTGCAAAAATCTTATTAATATAAGTACGACAGTACTATAATACAATTGATATCTCAACATTCATAACAAATCCCTACGATTTTCTAATCATTTTGTAAAGAGTCATATACAAAAATCATTTTTTCAAGGAGTTCAAAATATCCCTTGATTTTAGTAACAACTTTTAAAAAATCATATTGCAATTCACAATATCATAACAATCTCATATAAGTTGATAGATTAGAAAAAGAAAATTATAATATTTATTATATTATAAATAACAAAAGATAAATAAAATAATATTGATGTAATTAAAATTTAATATTTTTTTAACTTCAAAATAATATATATTACAATCTTTTTCAATCAATAGTTGGTTATAATATTTGTCACAATTTTTCAACTTTAGCCTAACTTATTTAGAAATCGAAATAATATATTGCAGCAAATTATGAGTAAGAGAAGATAAAGCGAGAGAAAGATTATGCGAGTATTATTTATTGATAATATTTGAGTATGTTAAATTTTCATTATTATCCATAAGTTGTATACAATTATTTTATAATGAGTGAAATGAACATATAAATCATATATTAAATTATTATATATAATAAAATAAAAAAATAATAATTAGTCAAAATTATTTTTATATTAATCAATATTTATTCGTTGTTTTCATACATGCCAATTTGTAATTATTGCCCCCCGCGACGCGCTACGTACTAGTGGATATGAATACACAATTAAAATTTAAAAGAAAAAGTTAACAAAAATAGTATAAGATATTTAACTCAAAAAGATTTAGAATCTATTAATATATAATAAGGATTAACATAATTCACTTTTAGTAATCTTTTCCCACCCAATTCATTAATTATAGCCTAAAAATAGTAACTAACAAACTTTCATTAATCATTGCCTAATTATATTAGATATGTTTTTTCGATTTTTGTTTCCTTTTGTGATATGGAATGAAAATCCAAAACAATATCTTTTTTTTGTAGGTCCATATCATATGGAATTTAGAATCTCTTGCCTTACAATATTCAATTAGAAAATATATTATTCATTTAATACTTTGATATCTTTATGTAAAGGAAACAAAGTTATTATTTAAATCAGTTGATTATCACACAGTAGAAATATTTAATACTTCGGTTTGTGTTTGTTTTTGTAAAATTTTTGGTTTGTTTTAATTACGTTGATAGTGGTTTTGTAGGCAAAGATTATGTAAATAATTATATGTAGCGGATTTTGGAACTCTTATTTATCAAGAATTTTTTTTTTATTTTAACAGATTTATTAGAATCATTGATTTGGATTAGCATATATATTACATACACACACAAAAAAAAAAATTATAGTAATATTTAAATTTACATGGCTTCAATTTTGGAATTCTCATTTGTGAGGATTCTTTTTTATTTTATCATATTTATTAGAACCAACAATTACAAAATATAAATCTATGTTCATATCTAAATATATTTATATTAATATTTAAATATATTTTTCATTGTAGCAGATTTTGAGAATGAACGATTTTATATGAGATATACAAATATTATTTTTTTTTAAGATATACACCAATTCCCTTTATTGGTATTCTTTTTGTCAATTGTTTTTAAAAAGAAAATTTTCAAAATTTTGTATAGTAAATCAATTTTTTGTTTTTGTATACACAAAATATAAATTTATTGCAAAATATCTCTCTCTCTCTCTCTCTCTCTCTCTCTCTCTCTATATATATATATATATATATATATTTACTACCTAAAAAGTTGTCACACATATAATAGGAAAGCTGTCCAATTAAAAAATTGTTCAGTTTGAAAATATATAACAAATTATCACACATTCAATTAAAAATTGTTCGGCTTGAAAAAATTAGCCTGAAGCAATTTCCAATCACTAATGTTTTATATTTTATATCTACTATATATAATATCTCTCATAAAATTAGTGTGATGTAGTATTTAATGTTTTGTTTTATTCATATATAATTTTGTAGATATACATACACCAATTCATTTGTCCAACTGTTGTATAAATTATCATATTATAAATAGATCCATCTTAGACTTCCACTTAAGTTCCAGAGGCACCAGTTCCTTCTGATTTTGGGATTCCGTTTAACAGTCATTGTCAGTCTTTTTGTATAAAAATATAGAAATATTAGTGAATATTATATAGCTAATCAAGTATAATTTATATTAAACTAACAGCTCATTGTCTGACTGCGTACTTAGGACTTCATTTAAATGCTAGAGCACCAGTTAGTTCAAATCTTAGGGTTTCAATTAAGATCAATGTCAGTCTTTATGTGCGTTGGCATATTATTAAAAAAATCGGTTCTTAGCAACGACCGATTATATGTTATTTTTACGTGTAAATAATAGATAAGAGATGTGCATTGATATGTTATTAAAAAAAAAATTTTTGATCACGACCAATTGTATGTTGTTACACGTGTAATAATAGGTCAAGAAGAGTCAAGATCAACATTTATTGTACATTGGCATGTTAAGTAATATATCAAGAAGAATCAAAGTCAACATTTATTATACGTTGGCATATTTTTAAAGAAATCGATTTTTAGTCACGAACAATTATGTTGTTTGTTTCGCGTGTACGTAATATAAAGTGTTGAAAATATTAGTTTGTGGAGACGACGAGTTGCTCAGTTATTGAACAAATAATGTTGTGTACAAGAAAATTTAAATAATATATTTTTTTGCATGAGGAACATTTTATGGTTTGATAATTTTTCTACGAATTATCACTCTTTTATTTATTAATACATTTTAATTTTTAATATTCTCTAAATTAAATACAGCCCGTGCATCGCACGGGTTACATACTAGTGGTGAGAATCATGAATGAGATATATAATTTTAGTTAATATGAGCAGATATATTTATACACCTTCAAAGTTAAAAAGGGTAAAAAAAAGGATATAATAATAATAATATGCATAAAGAGAGGAAAAATGACTTCGAAATACGGAATGTCTCATTCCCATGACATATATAGTAGGAGAAACAAGGCAAGTTGAATATTAATTATACAAGCAAGTCACGTAATATACCTTTTTTCTTCTTTGGTTGATGGCAAATTAGGACTTTTTTTTAACTCAAATCTAATACAAATTTAACTGAACCCTTCTCAATACTATCAATATAATTAAATAATAAAAATCAATCATTCTCACACATTACATCAACTTTAATTCATTATTCATACACTCACATAATTTTAACTACCCATCACTTCCAATCACCTCACTCTTACTTTTACATCTAGCTAAAAATCTCTCTCAAACCTAACTCAACCAATATTTTCAAAATTAACTCTGGTACCCAAAAAATCTAATCAAAACTCAAATAATTTGTATCCAAGCACAATTATTTTTCGCATTTTATTGATATTAACTAGTTCATTGTGGGCCTTACTCATCATCGTTCTCTACTTCAAGGACATTCTTCATTTTAATTAACAGAGATTGTTAGAAAATACGATCGGACCAGTCACAACGTAATTGTGTTATTAGGGTGCTTGTCCCAAGCCTAGGCTAAACTAGAGATGGCCAAGTCGTCCAGATACAAATGTCGGCATTTAAACTTGGACCTAAGTAAACGTATGAAGATAACCTATTGTTGTCCGAGTACACCTGAAGCCTAAATGAAACGGAATAGGTACCTCAGCTCCCAAGCCTTTGACGTATACGTTGGTAAAAAGTTCTGACGAATCAGGGAAAGGACTCTCCTGCAAACAAGATTTATTCAAAAGTCGTTAATGAGAGCTGAATTTCATGCGTGCTCAATCCACTTTAATCAGACATCAAACTGTGAAAATTCTAACCTTAGCATTTGCAATAGCATCATCTACCTCTTTTCTTATTTCTTTCTCAGTATCCTGAAGCATAGAACAGTACAAAATCTTATCATCAGCTCATTCCTCAACTAAGAAAAAAAAAAAAATGAGGTTTTGCCAAACTATTCATTCAATACTACATACTTACATAAAAAAAAAAAAAAAAAAAAAAAGAGCATGCTATATTATTACCTTTAGTTCTTTTTCAGTAGCTAGATCATGATGTAGTATCAGCTTTCTGATTCTCTCAATTGGATCACGCTCCTGTTGGAAAAGCAAATTAAAAAACGCACATGATAAGAATTCAAGTAATTAATCATTATCATGAGAGAATATTTTACATATGTCACCTGTCTAATACCGCTAATCTCATCACGTGTACGATATGTGCTTCCAGGATCCGACATGGAGTGTCCATGATACCTGTAAGTATCCATTTCAAGGATCTGAACGGAAACAAGGATCCAAGGCAGACTAATTAGTGTTCTTAAGATTGGAGTTCTTGAACAGGGTGCTTAGATGGGATTCACAGGATGGTTCACTGATAACCACATGAGTGGTATGCCACCGCTTTTAATATGTGAACACTTGCTCCATTTTTTATATTAACGGATTTACCTATCTGGGGGAAAGTACAGTTATAATTAGTGCTTATAATTAGTGCTGTAAACGAACCGAACCGAACCGAACTGAACCGAGCTTGGGCTGTTCGAGCTTGTGTTCGTTTAAGTTCGAACACTGTTCGTGTTCGTTCGTTTATTTTTCGAGCAAAAAATTGTGTTCGAGCTCGTTCGTTTAATTGTTTGTCAAAGTTCGAGTTCGTTCGTGTTCGAATAATTTAATACATAAACTTTTTAAATATGTTTGATTAACTCGAAATTTGTTCGCCCGAACTCGTTCGAAATCGAAAATAAAATAATACAATAAAAATATTTTTATAATTTGATTTTTTATTAAAAATACTATGTAAATATATAAAAAATAAAAGGAATTATAGTAAATTTTATATTTTTATTAGAAATATTATCTAAATATATAAAAAATAAAATAGAATTATATTAAATTAATGTTCGCGAACATAATCGAACGTTCACGAACGAGCTCGTGTTCGTTCGATTATTAAACGAGCCTAATTTTCTGTTTGAACTCGGCTCGATTAACTAACGAACGAGCTTTTGTCGAACACGAACGAGCTTGAACGAGCTTTTGTTCGCGAACTTTCGGTTCGTTTACAGCTCTAGCTATAATCTCACTAGTGACAAACAATCACATTTCAATAGGATCCGACAATATTAGAATGGGTCGTGCATGAGATTAAATGATCCATCTATGTGAATAATTCTGGGCATCTAGAAAAGTAGATCAATGAGTACTCAGTCTCAGTTCCTAGCAATTAATAACGAATTTGAGCTTAATGGAGTCCTGCAGTCGGTGGTCAGATCTCTTACAGTTTTAGGTAGATTTGACCATCTTCAGAAAGCCTTTACGTGCCTATTTTATAACAGTTTCATTTACTCTGATACGCTTAGTGACTATCAAATATTGCAAATAATATTTGACATGATGGTGCATGTAGACGTGGCCATATCCCCTGTTCCGGGCCGACTTTTGAGGGCTCTAAAGCGGCCCAATAATATATATGGGCCGGTTCAGTGAACCGGCGGTTTTGGGCCGAACCGGTTCATTAAGAAATAATAAAAAAATTCACCAAAAAAATTCTAACCGAGCTGCCAGTTAACTGGAACTGGAACCGCTGGTTCAATTTTGTAAATGATTGAACCTGAACCGGCCCGGTAAAACCTCGAGCCGGTTCAAGGCTTGTTGACCACGGGCTTGACCGGGTCGGTTCGGCCCTTGGCCATGACTAAGTGCATGCAATCTCCTAAATTTCAAGTTAAAGGTAGCTGGTTCAAAAATTTAGATGGATATCGCAAATAAGAACTTCCATCACTGGCGACAGTCTTTCACTGGATATATATATTTAATATATATATTAAATAAAATATTTAATATATATATTTAATAAATATATATATATATTAAATAAAATATTAATTATAAAATTAACCTTAAATCTTAAATTCTTTTTTTTTTTTTATTCTTTACACAAGGACTTCCATCACTGCCCAAGATTGCATGTTGTTTGCGGATGACATAGTGTTAGTAGATGAGACGAGAGAGGGGGTAAATGCTAAGTTAGAATCTTGGAGACTCGAAACACCAGGAAATAAAATATAGGAATACTCAATATTTGATTAGTCCATTATATCATTTTTAAGTTTATATTGCTTACTAAATATTATTAATATATAATATATAAATATATTTTAGAAATTATAGCTATTATTAGTTTTATGTATATGCATTGTTTTAGCAGTTCAATAAACATTTTTAAGAAAATGATAAAAAAGAAGATATAGCTAGAATTCGAATTAGTATATGTTAAGACTACTATTATAAAATTAAATTCCGCAATCCGCACTCATATTTGTATACAAATATCAAAAAGAATACGAACTCAAACATTACTCGCACATATTTGAGTTGAACATCTAAATATTGATTTAATTCAGTTCGTTTTCCCCTACACACCAAATAAAATTTATGTTAATTATTAGTATTTCTTATTCGCCACACACTTAAGAAGAAACACGAATAGCCTACAATTTTTCTATTTGTTAATCTTCTTGGGCTCATTCTTCATAGTCAGCATGCTCTCAAGTGTAAAACTGAACGGAATTTCATAGTGAAAGACATAAAATTGATATCTTGGTCTCCCATTCCCTAATAAGCAATAATATACACTGAATTTGTACTCCATGCAGCTTGTATCTTACCTCTCACAGGCTCATATTACATCTTATTATCTACATATAACCTAGATCCTAGAAGGAAAAAAGAAAACAAAGGAACCTTCAAGGAGAACGGCAAACAGAAGAAAAGAAGGTAAAGGTAGGGTGCATATAAATATGTTAGTTTATCACCCGAATATGAAAATACTAGAGATGCTTCAAATGCATTTTTTCTTCTAGCTACAGTTGTGACTTTGAAGCTTGCTACAACTACGAAATAATGGCCAAGAACACAATTGAGTTGATGATAATGAGGACTACCAAGAGTCCATGAACAGTTGTAAATGTATTCAAACACGGCAGAGAACTTAACTATGCACTTACAATGGGTCCATTCTTTAAGGCATGCTCCTTCGCAAACTTGCATGCTTGTTTCACAGCAAGGGCATCCATACCATCCACCTGTTACAACACAAATATGCACCACATTTATCATGGAAACAAAGATACTGAACTATACTCAGACTTTTGTTTTTTGCTTTCAGCATTTTAAAATATTCCATAAATCAATATCTCCATTATTATTAAGCTACATGTGGAAGTAATCTTTACTTCCTAGTTAAAATAGCACATAGCGTAAAATGAATTGATCTCAATGTTATCTCCAAACAAGCATTGTGAAGATCAGGGATATGTAAGCTTAGTTTCAGAAAGAGATGTGACACCTATATATTCATTCCTTATTTATCAACATAAGCACCACATGGTTCTCCTCAGATACAAGTGACTCAAATTGTCGGATAAAAATATGCAATGTATAACTTGAATAGGTCAAGAAAACATATCCACATAGCCTTTCAGCTCGATTGGAGTTTACAGATCCGGGATTTTTTGCTCTGATGTTCTCTTTTCGTCTTTCGATGTAGGGACTGGCTTGTGTGTTGGTTTGTGTGGCAGCTGCAGAAGGCCTCATATAAGTAGGGGAGGTTTTATCCTAACTTTCATTGTAGGTGTGAGTAGTATTTTTATTTTCTTGTGTCTTTTGGGTAGTACCGACTGTGTCTGAGCTGTTTTCTCCTTCTTTTTTTTTTTTTCTCGGAACGCTAGAAAATTTTATAACAAAAACACATAATTACAATGATAGAAACAGCCCGATAGCTGAATAAGACAGCACATGAGCCGAATCTAGCGAGAGGACAGATCCGAAGACCAACCTAGAAGCTAACAATTGCCTACCACACAACCACTAACAAAACACGCTAAAACTAACAAGCTCCCCTACGGGAGAATACACAACTCCCGTAGGGAGAATACATCACTCCCCTACGAGAGAATACACAATACGCAAAACCACGAGAAATGAAAAACACAAACACACAAAACACAAAACCACGAAAAATTAAAAACACATAACAAAAGGAAACACAAACAAAACGCAAGCTAAACCGAAAAAATAAGACTAAGCCCTTCCCACAGACGAATAGCACAACGAGAGCAAAGCGACGGCAAAGCACCGGCCAACCACCTACACGGGCCGAACCAAACCTCAAGAAGAAAATCCAGAAACTGCCGAACTCGCCTAACTGAAGGCGCATCCCAAGAGCCTGTTCCTACACCCAGACAGTCAACCCCAACTCCGCCACCGGAGAACCACCAGCCAACTCCCCACACACCACCGCCGCCCCGAATCCGGCCCACACCACGGGCCGAGAACGGAAAAATCGCTGGCCGCCCCTTCGCCCTAACACCATGGGAAAAGAGGCCAAGGGATGCTTGTAGATCCTCCACCCCGACCGCCACAACCAGCAGCCAGGGTCGCAGCCACCACCCAAACCCGCCTCTGCCCACCTCCACCGCGAAACCAGAAGCCGAGGGCCCTCCTCCCCCGAACAGCGGCAGAACAAACGCCGAAGACCGCCAGGGGCGCCCACCACTTTCTACATCGCCAGACCGACATAAGCGAAAATCGGGGGCCAGCCACGCAGCCAGAGCCGGGGAGTGAAGCCTCGGCGATTCGCTGGGGAAGGCACCAATTGAAGATCTGGAGAGTTAAGGAAAAGGGGGAAAAGGGTTTTCTTTTCTCGACTTTAGAGTGAGAGAGAGTATATAGGGATAATGCTTTTTCCACGTTCAACTACTACCAAAGTCGGGTCATGACAGCAACCAAAATGGAGTGTTTTGTCCCCCTTTTGGTGGGTGTTTTTAGGTGTTAGCTTCTTTTTCCCGTTGGTAGTTCATGTAAATCCAAAGGGTTGTATCTGGCTTGTATTGGTTTGATTTTATTTATATAATATTCATCGTTTCTGGCAATAAAAAACAGATGTAAACCAATTGCTACAGAACTACCACTTTCATACCCCAAGAATTGAAATTTAAGCAACATGAACATGCATTATAAATGAAAAAATAAAATAATTCATACATCAGAAGTGAACCTGAACATTTGCAACCAGAGAATATAGCATTTTTCTGCATTCTGAATCCTTAAGCTTTATATGTGTTGGAAATTTAAGAGAGAGAGAGAGAGAGAGAGAGAGCGAAGCAGCCGAGAATCCAAGATCACAGTGTGTTACAGTCTAAAGATTAATTGGTTAACCGTATCTTTGCATTCAAGCAATCATATTGGAACAAGTTTTCCTTGGCTAGTAATGCACTAATGCAGTGCACATATATTTGCATTATTATACATGTGCCAATATGCCACCTACAACATCAGCAAGTTGAAATAAATACACACTCCATGAAGCGAACAACTCTATTACCTTCATCCCTGGAACATAATCACCTCTCTTGTAATAAGCTGGACTCTTGGCCGCCCTCCATTCTGCTGTGCCCATTCCATCTGTGAACAGTGAACCAGTCTAATTAATTAAGCAGATATCTTTAATCTATATAAAATTATAACCATGAGTGAAGAAGTTACCTCGACTATAACACCAAATAGTAAGACATACATTAAAAACAACACAGGCCAAATTAAAATCCTAAGCCGTAAACAAAATCTTTATAGCATAAGTCAAAAATTCTCTAATTTTCTTCACACAAAATGCAGAGAGAAGAGAATCATGAAACATTGGAGATATCCAACTGTGCTTCCACAACAATGTCAAGGTAAACCAAACAGCCCATCAATCCGACCGACTTGTTCTTTACAAGTCATTCAGAAAGAAACTCCAACCAAACTGCAATAATTCCTTACGAACCAAAATAAATGTTCATCATTCCCCAACATCACATGACTAACGAACTGAAAACCAAACGGGGGAGAGAACACAGAGGAAATTTGCTGATTCTATAATTCAGCAGACATCTTACATCAACTATTCTCACCATAACTCAAAACAATTCTGCCATGTATGGCACTTCACGCCACAACTGATCACACGTATCCCTAATTACTACTGTAAACAGGATTTAAAAACAAGGGAACTGAATCATGTAAAAACTAATGTGTCATAGAACTAATTTCATTTCTTTTCTTCGCAAGCATCTTACAGTGATTATTCTCGCAGACCAAAATAGCCGGCAGATCCCAAAGGGCTGCCATATTCAGCGCCTCAAACAGCTGCCCCTGGTTGGCGGCTCCATCTCCATACAACGCGAAAGTCACGTTCTCGTCTTTGCTGTACTTCTGCGCAAAGGCCAGTCCACACCCCAAGGGGACCTGAGCCCCAACAATACCGTGCCCTCCGTAAAACCCTCCTTCCTTCCTGTAAAAATGCATCGACCCACCTTTCCCCTTTGAGCACCCATCCTTTCTCCCCATGAGCTCCGCGAATGCCTCCACGGGCGTGCCTCCACGGCCCAGGAAGATGCAGTGGTCTCGGTAAGCGGTAATTATGCAGTCCTTTCTCGTAATTGCCGCCTCCATACCCACGGCGACGGCCTCCTGGCCGTCGTATAGGTGACAGAAACCGCGGATGAGCTTCGCCTTGTAGAGAGAATCGGCGGCTATCTCCATGCGGCGCATGAGAGCCATATCGCGAAAGAAGGTGAGGAGCTCTTGGGGTGTGGTCTCGACGGAGCGGGAGGGGGGATCGATCTTGTGCGCGGTGAAGGGGAGGGAGGTCTCGACGACGATTGGGGAGGTGGAGGCGGTGGCGAGGTGGCGGGCGGGGATTAAGGCGGCGGAGAGGGCGTTCCGAAGGGCCGTGGCGCCGTGAGTCAGCTGGGCCATGACTGCCGTTGAATCTTTAGCTAACTTCCGATCCGACGGCGAGGGGGTGTGTGTTTTTGCGTCTGTTGGGGAAGTGAAGGGGTGGTTCGGTGGGGAGGAGACAGATAAACCGCAGCACGGATAAAATTGAAAATGGAGAGACTTGAAGACATATTGGGAAAAAAAGGTCAGCGATATTGTGCGGATAATAACCATTGTTGAAAACCGAACGGGCTGGTCAAGCTACTAATTCAATGATTTATTGGTCTGATCAGTGGTTGAACCGATTGAACGTGGTTGAATCGGTTGAACTATTATTTTATTTATTAACATTTTTAAATATATAATATTTTATATAATAAAAATTATATACAAACTTCGTTTATTAAACATTTAGACAATTTAAAACTTCCAAATACTTATTTATATAATTTTAATATAAATAAAAAATGCATACACTTATATGTATTTAATTTAATATTTATCATGGATGTATATGTGTGAAAGTGCCACCAAGTGCTGATATAAATATTAAAAAACTATTTATCAATTTATGTATTAAGTTGGTCCAAATTAAGTAACAATCAATTTATGTATTTAATTTATCATGGAAGGACCAATATTCAAGCTTTTGACCCTAATAAATATTAAATACCATGCATTCAATTGAAAATTTTATTCACAAACTTTCACTTTTATAATATAATTGCCACAACCTAGCTTCATTCAGCCAAAACACAGTACAATTCAAATGTAAATAAAGCGTTTATAGTTGCAGAAAGCTGATGCATTTGTTGTACAATATTCAAGTACAATGTTTGTCCCACATCGGCAGAAGTAGTAAATGAATTGCTCTATAAATGTAGTAAAATTTCATTTGTTGTAAAAAAGGCACTGGCAGGTCCAACCGGAAGGTTTTCGACCGGTTCAACCGATCATTGACTGGTTTTTTACCACAAACAGATCTATTGACCGGTTCCCAGTTCAACCAATTGGACCTGCCGGTTCAGTCCGATTTTCAGAACATTGATAATAACTAGGTGGAGCTACACTAATCTACATGGTTAAAAATCTCAATAGATTAGTTCCGTAACGGGACAGTAGTCTTACCCGCTAACTAGATACATTTCAATTTTGTTATAAAAGTTTTTGGCTCGTTTAATTCCAACATAATTTAATTTTAGGGTGTTGCTAAACACCCCTATTACTATGTATTGTTTCCCTAAACCATTTTGCTCTTGACATTTTTCTAAAAATCATAAATTTTCTGAAACTAAGTGATTTCCGGCAACAGATATGTTTGAAGATGAGGTATGATTTTTGTTCGTCGGTCAGTGATTGCAGTCGCTCGCGGCGGCAGCCTGCAAGCCAGGTCGACCATGACCATTGGCGACCGCAATATGCAGTCGGCCATGACCGTGCTCGGCCGGCCCGCCATCCGACCAGTTTTTATTTTTTTTAGTTAGTTAATTTATATTTATTACATAAATTATGTTAGTAGAAATTTTTATGTTACAAATTTGAATTCATTATTATTATTATGTTAGAACTTAGAAATTTTTATTTTATAAATTAGAACTGGTTATCTTATAGAAATTATAATTATTATGTTAGAACTTACAAGTTTTCTTATGTTATAAATAGAATTAATTATCTTATAATTTATAATGTAGAGAGGGTATAAGCTCAATATCTCACATATTCTGATATGGGAAGCCATAACACGTTCTTGTGCAGTATGCTGGAAAAATTGGAAAAGCGTGCGGAAGTACGACTGTTCGTAGGTTATCCCAAGGGAACAAAAGGTGGATTGTTCTATAGTCTCAAGGATCAGAAGGTGATCGTTAGCACGAACACTAGATTTTTTGGAATAAGACTGTGTGATGAACCACAAGCCCACGAGTAGACTTGTCTTAGAGGAGTTAAGGTGTGAAGTCGTTAGTCCCTTACAAGTGCGCAAGTAGATACACCACATAATAGTGCAACACGACACAATGAGCGTGTACCAGTGCAAGTAGTGCCTCGTCACTTTTGGAAGATTGTGAGATAGCCCGACCGATTTATGTTCCTCAGAGAGTCATTGGACTCAGTGTCGAGTGAACTAGCCTTGGACGTTTTATGAGGCACTCTAGGACAATGATGCAGTTTCATGGCAATGTGTGATAAAGGTTGGATGGAATCAATGGACTCCATTCTGGTCTAGGATCTTGTAGAACCACCCATGGGGGTACGACCCATTGGATGTAACTGTGTCTACAAGAGAAAGAGAGGATCGAATGCGAAGGTTAAGACTTTCAAGGCTACGCTTGTTGCGAAAGGGTATACTCAGAAAAAAAGAATCGATTATGAGAAAACCTTTTCGCCGGTACTCATGCTCACATTCATTCGGGTTTTCTTGGTTGTAGCCGCTCATATGGATTATGAGATATGACAGATGGATGTTAAGAAGGCTTTTATTAACGGAAGTCTTCAGAAGGACATCTATATGCAGCAACCTGAAGGATTCATCGCAAAGGGCATGAGCATCTTGTTTGTAAGATGAATCGGTCCATTTATGTACTGAAGCAAGCTTTGAGGTCTTGGAACATTCAGTTCGATGAGGTGATCCAGTCGTACGGTTCACTCAATGTCCGAATGAGCAATGTGTGTACAAAAAGCGCAGTAGGAGCGTGGTGGTGTTTATTGTGATTTATGTAGATGATATACTTATAATTGAAAACAATAAGAAAGAATTATCATACATAAAGGTATAGTTGTCTGAGCAGTTTGATATGAAGGACTTAGTAGAAGTCCGGACACATTCTTGGTATCAAGGTCATTCGAGATCGTGAGAATAGAATGTTGTGCTTATCTAGTCATTGTACATAGATATTGTCTTAGCTAGGTTCAACATGCAAAATTCCAATAAAGAATGGTTACCTTTTTGGCATGGGATACCGTTATCCAATGAGATGTCTCCCAAGATGCCTCAATAGATAGAGGACATGAGGACAATTTCTTATGCTTCAGCAGTTGGAAGTCTCATGTATGATGCTTACAAGATCGGATATTAGCTACGTTGTTGGCATGTTAGATATCAAAGTAATCCGGGTTCGGAGAATTGGTCTGCGGTAAAGCATATTTTCAAGTACTTGAATTCAACACCTGAAATTGCACTAATTGAGACCACATTTGCAATGTATTACACATAGTCACGCGTCTCATTCTTCCCTAGATCTGAAAGAAATGGACCCGTTTCTTCGCCGTTCGCTCTCCCCTATCCACTTACGGCCTGCTGCCGCATCACCCAAGCCAGGTCCCATGAGTCGGGGTTGGGGGCTCTTTTTTTTTTTTCGCCTCTTCTGAGGTCTGCAGAAGTTTGGGCGAGTTGGTACTCGCCGCCATGTCATCTCCCTCAGCCAAGGTCGAGTCACTGTCGTCAGTGCCTAGCCCCAAGGCTCTGGAGTCTGCCGGTTAGTTGCGGTGTTGGGTTCGTGCTCCTTAGTTACGATGTCCAAGGTGCGGCTCGGCTGCGCGTTTCGACCCTATTTCGAGCACTTCGACTGTTGATCGGTGTTGTTAATTTTCGTGCCCCCCTCCCCAGCGTGGTAGTGTTTCAGAGTCTATATTTGAATTAAGAATTGACTCTTTATCAGACATGTCTGGGCGGTTTGAGTAGCCGCACTTTTTGGGTTTGAGGTTCCAAATTGCCGCTATGTTGGACCTCTGTGCTGCATGGCGTGACTCGTGAGCCAACTCGGATTGTCGTGTGTTATGTTTGTTAGGTGTAGGGAATGTCTTATTTTGTCTGTACATTAGGTTTGTGTTTTCTTTGTTTTTCGCTTTGTTAATCCAACTTGGTCTGATTTCAGTCTTATTTTATGGAGTTTCATTTTGTGTTTGCGATTGTATTCTTGTTGGAGTTGTACTCTTTGGATTCATATGGTGTTTCAAGGGAGTAGGTCTAGTTGTCTCGTTTCCTTACGTTACTTGACACCTCATCTATACTTTTTTAAATTTTATAATTATAATTATTAAAGTGTTTACTGTTTCCAAAAAAAAAAAAGAGAGAGTACATTTGCAATCGGCTCAAGGGATGGCAAAACGACATGGACCCGACTCGAACTGGACCGACCCGGAGCATTTGGGGCGACCCAAACCTGCCCCGTTTCTAAAATGGGGTCGGGCCTGGCCCGACCTGTTAACTAAGCGGGCCAAGTCCGGGTCTTTTTTCCCAGCCCGACCCGACCTGCCCCGATCTTATTTATTTATTTTTATATAAATTATATACAATATATAAATGAAATTAGGAATTAAGTTTTGAATTTTCTCATTTCTGTATCTTCTCATTTCTATATAAGTTATATATAATATATAATGACTAGATCTTTGTATTTTGGTTTTTGATTTGTAAGACTTATTATGTTATTTATTAGATTGTTCCATTTCGAATTAGTGATATTTAAGTTTTTAATTTTTTTTTTATTATTATTATTATTATTATTATTATTATTATTTATTTATCTATTTTTGTGCAATGTGTAATGTTTAAGATGATGATTGAAAGTAAATAAAAAAGATATAAAATTATGTAGGTTGCTATCGGCTAGGGGCGGGTCAGGCGGGTCAGACACGGGCTGCGTGTCGAGGTGGTCGGGTCGACCCAAAAACGGGTCAAGTCACGAGCCCAATCAGTTGAACCCATCGCGGGTCGCGAGGCAGGTCTGGTCGCCAAATCGCGGGCCAGGTCTGGGTCCGCAGGTACCCGGCCCGACCTGGCCCATTGCCATCGGCACACCGGACCTAATTTGTAATTTTTTCCTGTGGCACCCCAAAAGGTATTTCGCGAATAGAAAATCGCCTCTCAAATTGTCAGCCGCCATGGCCTCACTCCCTATTCCTCTCTCTCTTACTCTATCTTCACTGGCCAAAACGCCCAGCAGCAAGCCTTCTCCTTCTCTGTTCAAGCAATATCTCAATTCCCGACCTCTACAGCTGTTCCAGCCCAACACCCCCTCTCACTTCACAGCCCTCTACAAACTTCCGAGCCCCAGTTCTCCCGTTGAATCTTCTCCTCAGCTGTCGGACGACGATAACGACCCAGACTTCGATGAAGAGGACGACGAAGATGACTTGGATTCGGAGGAGTACGAGCCAGTTTCTGCCGATATCCAGGACGACAGTGAGCAAGAAGAAGATGATGAAGACGACGAGGAGAATGCTGGTGTCGGCGTGAGCGGCCGCGACTCGAGATATGAAGAGTTCAAGTGGCAGAGGGTGGAGAGGTTTAGGAATGAAGTGAGGGAATTCGGCAAGGACATCATTGATGTCGAGGAGTTGGCCTCAGTTTACAACTTCAGAATTGATAAATTTCAGGTTTGCTTTCTTTTCAGTTTTTGGATTTTGTGTGGGTCACAAGTGATGTAGTTTGTGGTGTAAGATTCAAACTTTAGTATTTATTCCAAGGCATAGATGCACTAGCCCTATTGTATTGTGTTATGCTCAAAGTTAGCGTGCATCTTATCTGTTTGAGGACATGTGTGATCCTCAAGACTTTCCTATTGGTGAAGAAAATGATGGCACACAGTTCATCATATGGTTTTTAAGTCGAAATCTTTAGAAATGTTCGTATATATACACTATTACGAAGTGAATGTGTGTGTGTGTGTGTGTGTGTGTTTGTGTGTATTCTTTATGTGACTTCTTTTCTGTGCCTTCTGAACTTCACCTATTTTTGTGAGTAATATGCCTATTTTTCTTATATGGCTATCTTTTTTTCTAATAGAGAATACAATGGAATTTTGTTCAGCCTTGTTACTTGGGGATAGTAGTAGATCTTCAAATAAACATATATGTCAGCACTCCAAGCCATATTCTTTGAATGTGTACGTATGTATATCGTGGATTTGCTTATATCTATGTTAAGTAGAGTAAATTACTCTATGCTTCAAGTGCACTTGTGAAAGACATTGAGGATATTAACAGACTGTATTGTAGAATGTGTCATCTATTGCTAAGTTTTTACTTTTTTTTTTTTTTAGCGATTGGCTATCCAAGCATTCTTGAGAGGTTCTTCAGTTGTAGTTTCTGCACCAACGAGTAGTGGAAAAACTTTGATTGCCGAATCTGCAGCAGTTGCTACTGTAGCCCGAGGAAGGAGATTGTTCTACACTACTCCTCTAAAGGCATTGTCGAACCAGAAGTTCCGTGATTTTCGGTAAGCAAATATTGATTCATGGGGTTGTTACTTGTAAAAGAAGGTATGCTAACTTCAGTTGTGTGGCTTCACAGTGAGACATTTGGTGATGCGAATGTTGGGCTCCTTACTGGAGATTCTGCTGTCAATAAAGATGCTCATATTTTGATAATGACCACCGAGATTTTGCGCAATATGTTGTATCAAAGGTAATTATACATCTTTGTGCTTCATTATTTAATCAACTGTTCAGTTGCGTAAGATCACATCTTTATGGAGAGTACGGTATGGAATCTAACATCATATAAATTTATTTGTAAGTTGTTGATACCATTTAGCCCATATCTGGTTCGTGGAACAATGAGGGATGATTATATTTTCCAAATGGAAGGTTCATTTTTTGTATTTCCTTATATCTTCTGCATGTCAATCATGCTAAATGTTTTTTTTAATGTTTCCAGAGTGGTTATGGGTTGACATTGCATAAATAGATACTTAGTACTGTTTTCTAATGGATAAGTTTTTGCTTCAGTGTTGGAATGGATTCCTCTGAAAGTGCACTTGCCCATGTGGATGTGATTGTTTTGGATGAAGTGCACTACTTAAGTGACATGTCTCGGGGTACTGTTTGGGAAGAGATTGTAAGTGGATTTTAAAAATACGTATTGGAAAACTGAAGTTACTTAAGCTGATGTTTACTTGATATGTGTAGGTAATATATTGCCCCAAACAAGTGCAGCTAATATGTCTGTCAGCAACTGTCGCGAACCCAGATGAGTTAGCAGGTTGGATTGGTCAGGTACTGCATATACTTTGGCTAGCATTTTTTTTTAATCTCCGCAGTCGATTAATTTATTCAGAAACAAGTGGCTAGCAAATTATTGTTTTTTACCGAGTCTCGAGCTCGGGTTGATCTCAAGGAAGGTGGTTCCGAATCTAAAATTGATGCCGATCACACAAGAAAATGAAATAAAGTCCTTAACATTATAATCATGGTTGATGTGGATAATTTATTTAGTAACTACCAATAACTAGAAGAAACAATTAAATAACTATAAAATAAATAGAGAAGTAGAAGGTCTAGGGCGTTGGGAATCATCTCATCAAGTCCTAAAATTTATGTCGGAATGGTTGTTCGGTCTCAAAACTGAGATTCTCACCTAAATGCCTAGCAGTTCGCTCCCAATAAATTTTGTAACAAGGGATTGAACTTAAAACGAATAAATGATAACACACACAAGCCTAGATATCCACTTGCGATACTTTTACGAACACGAGTTCGGATATAGACAAGTATATATTTAAGCCAATGAACCCATAGACAATACAATTAGGAACATGTCGAACTTATTCGAATTATGGTTAGATATTCTATCCCCTTCCTTTTCTAGGTTATCAATCTAGACTAGATGATGGTTCAAACAAATATTCAAGCAATTCGAACGGGTATGAACACCACACATTCAACGCAAACTCAACAACAACAACAACAACAACATACCCAGTATATTCCCAACAGGTTGGGGTTTGGGGGGTCAGTTGTACGCAGACCTTACCCTTGTAATTATACAAGGAGGCTGTATCCGTAGCGACCCAAGGTGCATTGCGTCGTTTGGTATATTTTTTTTTTTTTTTCTATAGAAGAAGCACTAGAATTTAATTGAGCCATTTTGCTAGTCCATTATTAGCACTATGCCAGGAGAATTGTCAACAATGACTCTTCCAGCTCCATTTGCAATGAACATATTCAACGCAAACTCAAGACAAAAAAAAAAAAAAAAAAATCCTTAGGTGGATGAATTATCTCGATGTTAATTGAAGCTGGGAACTTGCATCCAATCAACAAAAAGAAAACTTAAGAAATTGCAAGTGTCCGTCACCTACATATACGGCCCCAACAATTCGAGCACATAAAAGTAAAAATGGAGAAATCCTACGAAGAACTATTTACAAGGAGTTTTTGGTGTTCCCAAGTCTTGGAATTGGTCCCTGGCTGTTTTGTGTTCAAGGATGTCTTGATGATCTGATTTGAATTGCTATTTAAATGAGTTCGAAATAGGGTCGAAAATCTGTTCAGGTGCGCCAAGTAACGACACCCATTGTCGGCGCGAGTTCTGTCGAAAGGGATAGGTGCGGGCGACAGGGCACGCGGCCCCACGGCACAAGTGCGAGACAGTGCGCCCGCCACTGGCGATGACTCGTCCCTTGACACTTTGCCCATTGCGGGCGCGGAGCTGCTCGTGGATGCGATGTTTCTCGTAGCCCAGCAGCTGGGCGCGAGCGAGCCTAGCGTGTGCAGACGATCCCGTCGCTCGCGTGACTCGTGGCCTAACAGCTGGTTGTCCCGTGCGGTTCAGTCAAGTGGGTCTCACACCGTGCTGCTCGTCAAGTGAGTTTTTGTCTGTTTCTGGCGATGATTCCCGACAAAGATATCCGAGCAACATTTTCCTACAAAATAAAATATAAAAGTAGACGTTTACACGAAAACACGTAAACGAGCAAAATCAACCTAATGGGCCGAAAAATCGATAAGACGAGCTCAAGTGAACTTGAATGGAGACTATAAGAACACTAAAAGTAATAATACAAACATACAAAACATAAGGTGCTACTGAATGAGTAATCCAATATTCGCTTGTGTGCAATTTCATATTTTATCTACAACACTGCTATTTAAACTAGTTCCATTTATTTGTATTTTCTGTCATTTTAGTTTTAGTTTCTTGCTCGACCTCTTTCTGATTATGAACAATTTTCTTTGGCGATGCTTCAAGATTCACGGAAAAACTGAATTGGTCACATCATCTAAGCGTCCCGTACCTTTGACATGGCACTTCTCGACAAAGACATCACTATTACCACTTCTTAATGAGAAAGGCACTGGCATTAATAGGTGATTTTCGATCATTGATTCTCTTTGTATAGACAGCTGTTTCATCATTCCATGATATGTTATCTTATTTTAATGAGTTATCAGATATATCATCTTTTGTGGAATCGGAACAGGTCATCACAATCTTCATCCCGACCTATCAGAATTTCATGCTTCTGTTTCCTTCAGTCACAGAGAGAGACAGAGAGAGGGGGAGGGAGGGAGGGTAAAATGAACATACATTAAGGCTTCCGTTTTGAATTTTGTGCTTCAATCTCTACTCTAAATAGATAAAATTTTAAAGAAATGTGGATATTGCAATTTTATTACAAGACTTGCTGACATATAGATTCATTTGTTGGAAAAGTCTGAAGTAGATTAAGAATATTTAGAACCATATCAGTTTAGCTTGGAGAGGAAACTGGCGAATTTTCAAGAGCTACATTCTGATAACTCAAAACACAATAATCAAGAGAAAATTTTAAAACAATTAAAAATTATAAAATGCCAACCCGCGCCTGCTAATAAAACCACATAAATGCACTATGAAAAGGAAAGGAAAAAACAAGGGATAAACTCCATGCATTAGGATACCAGTTTTCCCAGTGTTTGGACAGATTTATTGCTTTGCAACATTCACAACTTTTTGTTAATTAAATAATATGATTAATTGAATAATTATTATTTGTAGGAAACATTTTATTTGAGGATATAATCTAGTGCACCTATTTAGTTTATTTGCTTACCTTAGTTGTGCGGTGCCAATATTTCGGCATGATTGTCGGCTTTTATGAAATTTCCTTGTAAGCCTTTGTAGGCCTTAATTAGGCCCTTGTTTTCCTTTATTTAAAGCAATAGATTAGCACAAAAAAAGTTGTCAATTCAACAACACCAAGATTGTGTTCTTTTGTGTTCGCCTGAGCTTCTTTGTGTTTTGGCCATTGATCTCGCCGGCAACTGTGTGTTGTCTCTCCGGCTTAGTTCTAACATTATTAACATTTTTTACTGAACAGGAACCTGTTGCGCAACCAGTGGCAGCTCGACTCATCAGGAGGTGACCCATACGAAGACGAGGGCTCTTGGCAGCGGAAATCAAGAAAAAATAAGCTGAACACGTCCACACGCTCAAAAAACGGCAACAATTTCAATCGTCGCTCGCAGGTATTGAAACTAGTATGTTCACTCACATGTTCTTTCGAACAGCGACCCTTACCGTGATATTTTCCTCGTGTTACGCTCACAGGTTCCTCAAGTCATAGATACTCTCTGGCATCTCAAAGCGAAGGACATGCTTCCGGCAGTCTGGTTCATCTTCAGCAGGAAAGGCTGTGATGCTTCCGTCCAGTACCTCGAGGACTTCAACCTATTGAATGAGTGTGAAATAACAGAAGTCGAGCTCGCCCTCAAGAGATTCCGCCTTAAATATCCCGATGCCATTAGGGAATCCTCCGTAAAGGGGCTTCTCCGAGGTGTGGCAGCCCACCACGCCGGCTGTCTCCCCCTCTGGAAATCATTCATTGAGGAGCTTTTCCAGAAGGGGCTCGTGAAGGTCGTCTTTGCCACAGAGACCCTCGCTGCGGGGATCAACATGCCTGCGAGGACAGCTGTCATCTCGTCCCTGAGCAAGAGGACAGAGAATGGCCGGATCCTCTTGAATTCCAATGAGCTGCTACAGATGGCTGGCCGTGCTGGCCGCAGGGGGATTGATGAGAGGGGTCATGTTGTGGTCATCCAGACTGCGAACGAGGGTGCGAAGGAGTGCTATAAGGCCCTCTTCTCGGGGCTCAAGCCTCTTGTGTCGCAGTTTACGGCTTCATACGGGATGGTGCTTAATCTGCTCGCTGTACGGTATTTTTTGTTAATACCATTGGTTAGCTAAGGCACATTCCTGTCACACAGCGTGGTGCTTTATATGGTCCCCCAAAATTCTTAAAATTTAAAATGGGAGAACTACCATGAGAGGGTCGTATGTAACCTTGACGTGTGGCAGTCATACTTGTGAAGCAAGTCTGTCAATTCATCCTTCTCAAAATGGCGCAAATGACTGCTTTGAAAGAATTTATTCTCAATGTAGAAGTACGGACTCTTGCTTAGAGTATGACCTTTGCACTACATGTGTTAGAACTTAGATGTCCCCCACCCCCAGTGACCTGAAAATGGAAAACTCCAGAGAAACTATAATAACTACAAACCTAGAAAAGAACACTAAACCTGAAAACTGAATCAAAAATAAAAAGCTAAAAATACGATCATCCAAAAGCTGAAAATAAAAAACTAAAAACTAACATGACTACCATAAAACCTGAAAATTCTTGGAAAAATTGGAAGAACTGAAAAAATGACAAAAACATCATAAAAGCTGAAAATAACTGTTTGTGAAGATTACGCATTATCCAAATGCAGGGCGCAAAAATTACCCGTAGCTTGCCCGAACGGGTTGACTCAGATGTGTCGCGTGCTGGTCGAACGCTGGAAGAAGCAAGGAAGTTGGTTGAACAGAGTTTTGGAAATTATGTGGGGAGCAATGTCATGGTTGCAGCGAAGGATGAGCTTGCTAGAGTACAGAACGAGATACAGATGCTAGCTTCAGAAATTACCGATGAGGCCATTGATAAGAAGAGCCGGAAACAGTTGTCAAAATCAGCTTACCAGGAGATTGCATATCTGCAGGAAGAATTAAAGGTACCTTACTCACGCACTCCCCCCCGAAGATTGCAGCGTGATCACTATTATTTAGAAACATGTAGTTGCATATAGTTTTGTTAGATTACTATGGTTTATCTTCTCAGGGAGAAAAACTTATTCGGACTGAACTTCGGAAAAGGATGGAACTTGAGAGAATTAATTCCTTGAAGCCATTACTTAAGGAGCTTGGAAGAGGTCATCTAGCTTTTATATGCCTGCAGCATACAAATTCAGATGGTAATCTGACTCAAATCCCGGCTGTTTATTTGGGGGAGGTTGACTCTTTAAACACTACTAAAGTAAAGAAAATGGTAAGGTTGTCTTGGTTAGTTCTTCCTTTCACCATCATTTGGGGTTCAATCATGTGTACATTTGACCTGCACATGGAATTGCACAGAAGTTGGTGCATCACTGTATAGTTCTCCACTGTTATAGAAAAAAGCATTGTGTTGTTGAATATGCTAGGTGCCAACTGAACTCCTACTTCTCTCTGTTGTTAAGATCTCTGTCCTGATATGTTCTTACCTCAATTTACAGGTTAACGAATCTGATTCTTTCGCACTTAATAAGGATATGATGTCTGAACATGGCACCGAACCTTCTTACCACGTGGCTCTTAGTTCAGATAATTCTTGGTACCTTTTCACAGAGAAGTGGGTCAGAACAATCTATAAAACAGGGTTCCCCAATGTTGCCTTGGCTATAGGTGATGCTGTGCCTAGTGAACTAATGACAGTTCTCCTTGATAAAGGAGAGATGCAATGGGAAAAGGTTGCGGAATCAGAACTTGGTGGCCTTTGGAGCATGGAAGGATCTCTTGAGACATGGTCTTGGAGTCTAAATGTGCCAGTCTTGAGTAGTCTTTCTCAAGATGATGAGGTAATACTTTTTCTTCTGTTGGATTTCTTGGCATGTGACCTTTTTGGTAATGTTAATGATACACACCCCTCACGACTTTGGCGATGTGCTATATGTTAAGAACTTATAATCATGCTTCAAAGTTTAAACATTGACTATAGTGGTGCATATAATCCAAATGGTCAATTAAGAGACTGTTATTTTTGCAAGGTCCAAGACTTTATGTTGAAACAGTTATATGACCCAATCGCCACCTGATTTTTGGCTGAGAATATCTGTAGATATACTAATGTATATTGCCTTCAGAAGTACTCTTAAGTTTTTAATAGTTATTAATTCTCTTTTCTCCAAATGTTTTCCCAGAAAACTGTAGTGCTCTTGTCACCGGTTTGTTTATGGTACAAAATGTTAATACCAAATCATTAAGTATAATCTTGAGCTATCTGGTTTTATTAATCTTAATGCTTAAAAAATATATTGCTTAACGTGAAGCTCTTGCTCCATGCACTTTCCTCCATGTCGTGCTCGTCCCTCTTGTCTCTGTGTTTGTCACTAAGCATCTAGTAAGTGGCATTCATTCATTTTTCTTTAAGTTTCCCATCTTAGTTCCCATTAGCTTACTTCAATATCTTACCCACATCCTCTGCCCATGGGATCCACATAGACACACAATTTTAGCTGACAGTGCTGAGTTTTGGAAGCTCCAACTCCAAATGGGATTTGAGTAGCTCAGCTGCATGCTGGATTTTATTAACTTTGTAGGTTAAACTTTAATGAGTTAATGAGTTCTTATTGTAACTTCAATGTCTTTATTCAAAACACTTAACTCTTTGTTCCCCCCTATTAGGTTGTGGAATTATCTGAAACATACCGTACTGCCATAGAACTCTACAAGGACCACAGAAACAAAGTTGCACGTCTGAAGAAAAAGATAGCACGGACAGAAGGCTTCAAAGAATATAAAAAGATTCTAGATGTTGCTAAGTTTACTGGAGAGAAGATACGGAGGTTAAATGTTAGGTCAAGGCGTCTGGCTACTCGCATAGAGCAGATTGAGCCATCTGGCTGGAAGGAGTTTCTGCAGGTTAGTACCAACTCATGTGTACCTGCAATTCCTGCCATGAATTCATTGTTGTTTATTCATATTAAGGATATGCAAAGCTGAAACTGTTCTTCAAATGTTAGGTAACATCAGTATATCTTTCATGTCTGGAAAGAATATCCTTTTCATTATATATTAATATTCAGAAGTGTTTTTCTATATTACACACTGAACTGGTATTTGTTGTCTCACAAGCATGAAAGTAACTGTAAAACCCAAGTTTCCATTACTTTTGTTCGACTGCTCTTACTGAAAACTCCTGACTTCATATATCAAATTCTGGATTATATCTGCGTTACTTAGTACCTATTAGCTATATGTTTGTAATTGGATTTGTAGGTCTTTTGAAGAAAATGTAATGATTATGTGACAATTCATAATCTTCTAACACACTGTTCATATATATGTTGTTTGCAACCTGGAAAGTCAGGTCTGTATGCCAAACTAATCATAATTTTTTTCAGATCAGTAATGTCATACATGAAATAAGGGCACTGGATATCAATTCCCACGTTATATTCCCCCTTGGTGAAACTGCTGCAGCAATACGAGGAGAGAATGAACTCTGGCTGGCAGCTGTTCTTCGGAATAAGATTCTCTTGGACTTGAAACCTGCACAGCTTGCTGCCGTCTGTGGAAGTCTGGTTTCTGAAAACGTTCGGTCCTGGAAAAATAATAGGTATGCATAGTTTATTTCTTTTATGACTATCTTTTTGCTTAATTCTGATGTGTAGTAAGTGGCAAGGCAAGATTTGCTCTAAAGTGTTTTAACCATCATATTTCTATTATTGCAGCTATGTATATGAAGCTTCCACCACTGTTATGAATGTAATCACCTTCCTGGAAGAACAGAGGATCTCTCTTTTAGAACTCCAGGAAAAGCATGGGGTCCAGGTACTTTTACGCTTTTATTTGGTTTAAATGGAAATATAGATTATGCATAAGTTGCCTAAGTTTTTGACTTGCTCGTGGTTTTTTGTAGATTCCTTGCTGCTTGGACAGCCAATTCGCCGGCATGGTTGAAGCCTGGGCTTCTGGTTTAACGTGGAGAGAGATTATGATGGATTGTGCCATGGATGAAGGCGACTTAGCTCGTCTTTTGCGACGAACGATTGATCTTTTAGCACAGGTATTCATTCTTAGCTCTAATATGACTTATGGATTTCTATATCTGCATATCCTGTCTTTTTTTACTCATGAAAATTTTGTAACCTTCACGTTACAGATTCGGTCTAAATTTTGTTCTTTCAATGCTGATAGTTGAGCTGATGAGATCTCATTTCGTATATTTTAAAATTGTATCCTTTTTTTTTATAAATAATTTCCAATTGCCCTACTTTTCATCTCATGTAAAATTGGATGGATATAATTGCAGAAGGCAACACAAAGTTTGAGCAACACAGTTAATTAAAAGAAATTCTTTGAATGTTTTACATTTTGAGGCAAAATGCATTTTTAGTCTTGCTGGTTTAACGTTGTAGTATTTTTAGTCCAAAGATTTCAATATTTTGTCTTTTGGTCCTGTAGTTTAGTATTTTGAGGACTGAAATTGCAATAAAATTTAAAATGACAGGACTAAAATTGCTAATTAAAAATTCATCCAAAAGTTTTTTCATAAGTAATTTAAGTCCTGTAATTTTAAATTTTGTTACATTTTCAGTCATTTAGGACTGAAATTGCGTTGAATTTTAATATCATAGGACCAAATAGCAAAAATGTTAAACTCTTAGGACTAAAAACATTACTGGATCAAACTAACAGGACTAAAATTTCAATTTTGCCACATTTTGATGATTGTAGACTTCTTTCAGTTAACACTTCTCAAAATCTTAGATCTGTTTTACTTCTTTAAAATAAAGAACTCCCCGGTATTGCCATAAAAATTAAAACTAAACAATAGCTGAAGTCAATAGTCATGTTCGAAAAGATATTAAAAGTTAAAAAAGTATTTAATTGAAGACTAATTTGCAAATATCGACTGCAGGTACCTAAATTGCCAGATATCGACCCGCTGCTTAAAAGCAGTGCTGTGAAAGCATCGAGCGTCATGGATCGACCGCCCATAAGTGAGTTGATAGGATAAACAGACAATCGAAGGATAAACAGAAAAGTCGACCCAGCCAAATTCATTGGTTTTCATACTCACAATTCTTTTGTATCAGAATAAACAGACGATCGAATGATTTTAATGTGTATATGTATTTTGTGTAATTTATCACATTTTGAAGAGCCCATGCATAGAGAAATGTCAGATTCTGCAGCACTATTTAAAAGCAAACGAACAAACAGTCTTATTGAACTTTGTTGGAAAATTTAATCAGTTTTTGACTCCGTCATGCAATTGAATTCTTGGTTAAAATCGATCTATTGACTTTATGGGGTTGAGTAATTGTTCCACATAATTATAGATTTATATATAAGTGTTGATGCTATGTTAAATTTAACTAGGTTAATTTTAGTACGTTATGTTATGAGGTAGGTGTGTTTTTTTTTTTTT